GAGAGAGAAACATCGATCAGCTGCCTCCTGCACATCCCCCACTGGGTATGTGCCCGCAACCAAGGTACATGCCCTTGACCGGAATCGAACCTGGGACCCTTGAGTCCGCAGGCCGACACTCTGGCCACTGAGCCAAACCGGTTAAGGCTAATTTTAAATATAGATTAATTTTTTTAATTGACTTCAGAGAGAGAGGAGTGGGGAGAAAGAGAAGAACAATGATTTGTGTTCCACTTACTGATGGCATTCATTGGTTGATTCTTGTATGTGCCCTGACCTGGGATCGAACTGCAGTGTTGGTGTGTTGGGACAACACTCTAATTAGCTGAACTACTCGGCCAGGGTTATATTTTTTATTTTGTAATTGCAGTTGATGTATACCCGAAACTAATATAATGCTGTACCACCCAGTGACTAAACATTTCAATAACTTAAAAGGTGATCACCCCTATAAGTCCAATACCCACCTGGCACCATACATAGCTATTACATAGTTATATTATTTTTTTGTTGTTTTGTTTTTAGTTTTTACATAGTTATATTATTGACTATATTCCCTGTGCTGTGCTTTCCATCCCCAGGACTATTTTGTAATCACCAATTTGTGCTTCTGAATCCCTTCCTCTTTCACCCAGCCTTCCAACCCTCCTCCCTCTGACAACCATCAAAATATTCTCTGTATCTATAAGTCTGTTTCTGTTTTGTTTATTTATTTTGTTCTTTAGATTTTGCATATAAGTGAATAATATGGTATTTGTCTTTCTCTGACTTATTGCACTGAGCATAATACTCTCAAGGTCCATCCATGTTGTTGCAGGTGGCAAGAGTTCATTCTTTTTTTATGATTGAGTCATATTGCATTATATGTATATACCACTCTCTTTTTTTTAAATCCTTTCCCAGAGATACTTTTCCCATTGATTTCTAGAGAGAATAGAAGGGGAGGGAGATGAGGGTGGAGAGAGAGACATCGATGTGAGAGACATATTGATTAGTTGTCTTCCATACGCACACTAACCAGAGCTAGGAAACAAACCTGCAACAGAGGTACATGCCCTTTACCGGGAATCGAACCTGGGACCCTTGCGTCCACAGGCGAACCTGCAACAGAGGTACATGCTCTTTACCGGGAATCGAACCTGGGACCCTTGGGTCCACAGGGCTGTGCTCTAACCACTGAGAAACCGGCTAGGGCTACCACTTATTTTTCCTTCCATATATTGATGTACACTTAGGTTTCTTCTGTCTCTTGGCTATTGTAAATAATGCTGTAAGGAACATATGTATACGTATGTCTTCTTATTAGTGCTTTGAGTTCCTTCAGATACATACCCAGAAGTAGAATTGGTGGGTCCTTCTTTGTCTCTTGTTATAGCCTTTGTTTTAAAGTCTGTTTTGTCTGCTGTAAGTATTGCCACACCAGCTTTTTCATGAAATACCTTTTCCCATCCCTTTACTATCAGACTTTGTGTGTCTTTTGATCTGAAGTGAGTCTCTTGTAGACAGCACGTGAAAGGGTCTGTTTCATTATCCATGCAGCCACCATATGTCTTTTTGGTTGGAGCATTTGCTCCATTGCGTTTAAAGTAATTGGTGCTAGGTATTACTGCCATTTATTTGCACCTTCCCGTCCTGGTAGAGGGCCCTTATGTAAGTGGTAGGTGTCCTGGAGGGCCCAGGGGTGCACATCCCCAGTCACCTGAGCTGGCGCTCCAGGTACGTCTGCCCTGTGTGGCCTATGTGCACCCTCTGGTTGTAGTTGAGCCTTGATCTCTGTTGGCGGGGATTTACCCCTAGACTGACTGGCTTTGAGGACTGGCTGTAGCCACAGGGGAGGAGCTGCTGTTCAGCATCCCCCTCTCCCCCCATCCAACCTCCCCTGTGGAGAGGACTCACTTCAGCTGGGCTCTGGTGTGGTCTGGTCTGACACTGCCCACTGGGAGTGCTGGCTGTGGGGCCTCCTGGGAGGTGCAGGCGAAGGCCAGCTGCTGATTATACCTGCCCGGGGCCCCCGGCATGAAAGACTGCGATCTGCGGATGGGGGTGCTGATCATGGGCTTGCAGGTGCCCGGGAGGGGCCAGTCTGTGAACTGAGGCTTGCTGCCCTACGGCCAGGCTTGGGCTGCTTGGCAAGAGGCTTGGGGCACACTGAAGTCAGATGGTTCTTGTTTGGGGTTTGTGGACTTTCAGGAGATTTTAGGAGAGTCCACATCATGAGCCAAGACGGACACGATGCCACCTGTGCCTGCAGGTGCGGTGGGCTCAGCAGAGAAACAGTGGCATCTGCCAGCACGCTGTCCGGGAGAAAGCTGCCTCTTCCGCTCTTGCCTCAAAGCCAGACAGTTCAGTTCCTCCCTGTATGTTTCCTCCCAGCCTAGAGCGAGTTCGTGTGAGAACGTCCGTGGGCCCTTTAAGAGGAACACGTGGGCCTCCAGCAGCCCTCTGTCTCACTCATCCACCATCCTCCCTGGTTTTCTCAGCCAGAAGTGATGGGACTTCTTGGCCCTGGAGCCTTGGGTTTGGGGGCCTCGTTTGGGGCAGGGACACCTGGCTCCTCAGAGGGGAACCTCCAGAGCTGACAACCCTCCCAGTTACCCACCCGCCGTGGGTGTGGGGCCTGCCTGTTCCTCCTCTCTGCCCTCCCACCAGTCTCCACAGGACTTCAGGTCAGCAGCCTCTGGCGGTCCTCAGTGACCGTGGTTCTGTTGTCCAGATGTCCCTTTGCTGTGGTCCCGGGAGGGGGCATCTGTCTGCTCTGCCGTCCTGATCAGAAGCCCAACACTCATGCATTTCTGAAGCTTCAGCTGCACTAATCACACAGCCCGTGTATGACCGTCTGTGCTTCCGGTGGCAGGCCTGGCACACGGCACTGTCAGACTTCTAGATTCGTGTTCACCTGCTGGGTCTGAAGTTATGTCCGATTATGATTCGGGTTTGCATTTCTCTGCTTACTGATGAAGTGAACATTTGTCTCTTTCTTACAAGGCTTGTAGGAATTCTTTGTTCTGGATGCTACTCCATCAGTTGTGTTACAGTAGCTTTTCCCAGGATTCCTGTGCGGCTTGTCTTTTTCTTTATGGTGTTTCCTTGGTGAACAGGAAGTTCTTAATTTTAACACAGTAATTGTGTTAGCAGCCTGTTTCTTTAGGGCTTGTCCTTGTACAGGTACCTTTTCCTGTGTTGTGTGTCCGAGTCTGCCTTGTGTTTGAGCAGGTTTGCTATCCCATTGAGGTTTTTAACCCACCTAGACTTTTTCGTGTAAAAAATGCTCACAGCTTTACTGAGTGAGATGGACACACAGTGTGTACAGTGGACACTCAATAAGGCTGACATGTATGCGCCTCGAAACTCACCACCGTCCAGACAGTGGACATACCCATTGTCCAGTTCTCTTCCCCCCATTTCCAGACAAACACAATTTGCTCTGTCACTACTGAGTAATTTGCATTTTTTGCCATTTTATATATAGACACTCACACAATAGGGCTTGCTTTCACTTTGCATAATTCTTCCATTTAGCGTGATTTTGAGAGATGCATCATGGTGGTGCCCGCACCAGCAGTCACTGCTTTCTGTTGTTGAGCAGTGTCCACTGATGACTACGTCGTTGGCTTATCCACTCGCCTGACGGATATCTCAGCTTGTTCCTGGTTTGTTGCTCTTGCAGATGAAGCTGCTATAAATATCTGTGTCCGAGTCTTTGCATGGGCTGTGCTTTCATTTCTCCTGGCTGGGTCATGTGATAGGTGTCTGTCTAGTTTTAGAAACAGACGGTATACCGTTTTATAGCTCCGTGAACTAGACATTAATAGGCTCTGAACACTTTCCACAAGTTTGTTCAAAGCTCTTTATGGAAATGAATCTTTGTTAGATGCTTCCCAGACTCACTTCTCTGTCGTCTGGGGGTGGATTGCTGAGCATGTTCCCGGAATGAGCAATCTCTCTCTCTTCCTCAGCTGAACACTACCACCATGTCCAATGCCACGGCCAACAGTAGCATTCGGCCTGCCTTTGGGGGGACAGTCTACCGCTCCCCCGTGTCTCGACTTCCACCTTCTGGCAGCAAGGAAGAGCATGGCCATGCTGAGCCCCCCTGCTATCATGGGGAGCCCTGGGAGGGGGCTGGGAAGCTGTGGGGAGCGGGGGGGCTCCACAGGCTCAGTTCAAAGCCAGGTCTTCAGGGGCTGCTGAGCAAGGGCCCTGCACGTGGGTTCCAGCCCTGACACTGGGTCACTAGGCAATCGGGTCCCCTCGCTGAAGGAGACAGGAGGGAGCCTGTGCTGTAACGTGTTTTACAGATGATGCTCAAGATAGGTGTTCTGCAAATCATTAAGAGTTTTTTGGTTGTTCATTTGTTTGTTACATCAAGTACTGTAAGGATTACCCACAATGAGTGATATTAAGATGGTATAGTCTGTGTGTGCGCGCGCGAGTGTGGCCATTATAAGGATACATGCTGATCTCTCCTTCCCCACAGCCAATCCTCACGTCCACCTGTTCAGGGAAGAAAAACCCCCGAGCTGCTCGGCACGGAGCCGACAAGGAGAACCTGGAGCTCAATGGCAGCTTGCTGAGCGGTGGGTACCCCAGCTCGGCCCCCCTCCAGCGCAACTTCAGCATTAACTCTGTTGCCAGCACCTACTCTGAGTTTGCGGTAATTGACCTTTTCTAATATCTGCCAGTCTCTGGGGAGCACACAGTTGGGGCCGTGGGTGTCTTCCCACGGGCCCCAGGCGCTCAGCTAGGACAGCGTTTGGGGGCTGAGAATCCCTTTCCTGCCTTGGCCGTGCATGGGGTGGGGGGCTTCCGGGAGGTATAGGAAGTTGACAGCAGCAAGTAGACATGTAACCCGGATCCTTCTGCTCGAGAAATACCAGTCCCTGGCTGCAGGAGGCGACCCTTCTCAGCACTGCCCTGCTGCTCTCTTGGTGGAGTTCTTGGTAATTGTCTTAATTCTCTGTTCTTAGAAGGATCCGTCCCTCTCTGACAGCTCCACTGTTGGGCTTCAGGTCTGTATGGCAACCCCTGCATGTCCCATGTCCCTTTCTCAAACCAGTCTGTCGTCTGCTGGCTTCATTCCCATCTGGGCACAGGGCTACACTAACCAGTAATCGTCGGCTGTGGGACCACAGGCCCTTTTACAAAGGAAGCGGGAGTTCCCGAGGCAGACGGCATAACCAGTCACCGGCTTCCATTCTTGCACCCTAACCTGCCGATTCACAAGAAAGCTTGTGCCGACTTGAATTGGATTCTCAGCCCCACCTACCGTCAGGCAAAGTTTTTGTATCATGTTACTCACAACAGAAAGCTTTCAGCATCTCGATGGTGCCGTCAGAGGCCTCCCATGTGCTGGAAAGAACAGCGGCCCCCTGGCCTGGGAGGGGAGCCCCAGCTGTGTGCTGCTTAGAATGAGGTCCTTGGCCTACGTGATGCTTCTCCCCTGGAGTATGTGCCTTACTAACCCTCGGGCCTGAATGCCACCTGTCTGTCCGCTCTGAGCTGGCCAACGCTCACTTCCTCGCTTTGCCTGTTTCTGTCCCATTGAGCTGCTAAAGCACATGAGGCTGTGGGAGAATCATTTTCCCAGAATGCTCTTCGGCTCCTGTATCCTCCTCCATATTTACCAACACTTCCCTGCAATGCCCTTTACTTAAGGGGCGTGCTCTCTTCTCTCAGTAGCTTCCTGCTGAGAGGACGAGGCTGCCTTAACCTCGGGATGCCGAGTTACAGGCATGGGTGCCAGCTGTCTTCCTGCTGGGAGATGGCGAATGGCCCGGTTGTCCATGGCTACAGCTCGCTTTGAGCCCTGAAGTTAGCTTCCTATTCTGGCACCTTTTTTAATTACATGATTGCTGTGGTTCTACCTGGGTGCACTCTGGCTGGCTGAATGCTGGACTGCGGGTCCAGGCGTCTCTCTGGCTTGCTCAGTCAAGCCCCATTTCGCCCACTTGGAGCGCACCTGTACCTGCCCACCTGTGGTCAAGCTGAAGGAGGGCATGTGGTTTTGGTTGCTGTGGGTGGCAGCCTCCGCCAGGCCGCATGCAGCCAGTAGACTAACCTCCACTAACACCTGTCCTTCTCGTGGTTCTCTGTGCTCTCTCTGCTCCTTCTGTACCATGTGCTCCAGCATGAGATCAAATCACCAGCAGGTTACAGGCCCTCAGCCCCAGGGATTGGTAGATATGTGGTCTGGCCCATTGTTTTATAAAGGGCTCAGACGCCAAAGCTTGTTGCCACCCCAGCTCGGCAACTCAGAGTACTTGGTGATGCACCAGGGATGTCTCTTCTGTGGGGTTTTAACACAGGGACTGGCTGAGGGCTGGGGCACGTGCTTACCCTGTGACTAACGGAATGGTGCTCAGAGTGCCGCCCCGTCGCTCCTAACACAGCCTGTGCTACGCCCCGTGTCAGAGAAGCGGCCCTCAGGCCCTCCGCTGACACCTCACCCAAGCTGACGGGGGCGGGCATGCATGAGAGGGAATATCGCCACTGACGGTGTCTGTTTTTCCACAGCGAGAACTTTCAAAGGCCTCCAAATCTGATGCTACTTCCCGAATCCTCAATTCAACCAACATTCTTCCCTAAGAAGCCCTGATCAGTCAGCTAGCTGTGGCTTCCTGGCCTACACTGGACCCAGTTACACAGGGTGGCTGTCCTTTCTCCCAGTGTAGGTGTGCTTGAAACCCCGGGCAGGCTCATTCCCATGGCCTGGCTACAGACGAAAGCCCATCACAGGCCTACTGGGTCCTTAGACACTTTGTTGGGAGATCTAGAACTTTGCACATGTCAGTCCTGGGGCATAGTTCCCGCTGCACGGTCCTCAGTGGGGCCCCGTCCTTAGCTACTCTACTGGTCACTACGATTCTCCCAAAAGCACTATTATTTATTCCTGCTCCACCCGCGCAGTCCTGCTGTCAGAGCACTAAATGGTTCTAAGGCTTCCAGTGTGGCTCGGGCTGCACGTGGGAGCCCTGCTGTTTTAGTCTGTGTATACTTGTCCTGTTGTAAAATATATATTGTTAACAATAAATAAAATGTGTTGTTAGATTACAAAAACAATAGATTGTGTTTTCAAAATTTCCCAAATAAGGTTTTAGTTGCTTTGGTCTGTGGAAAGCAGGCTTCTACTTAGAAATTTTTTTTTTTGTAATACATATTGTTTTGTGCATGTGTAAATGAAGAACATCTCTTAATCTGATAAAAAGAATTTAAAAAAATGTTTTCTGTATTGATTTTAGAGAGAGGAGAAGGGATTGAGAGAGAGAAAAACATCCATTTGTTGTTCCACCTATTTGTGCATTCTTGTATGTGCCCGACTGGGGACGGAACCAGCCACGTTGGTGTATTGGGACGATGCTGCAGCCAACTGGGCTACCCGGCCAGGGCTGATCAGAAAAGGATTCTGAGAGAAAAAAGCCTAAGTCTTGATGTATAAAGGGATGAGTTAACGTGAGGAAACTTGTAGTTTCATTGATATTTGTCATAAACAGGACTAGGTTTCATAGGGTGAAGCAGTGTGGCTTTTTTATTTTAAAACAAATTAAAAGTTTGGGTTTAGTTTTGATGTTTTTTATCATTAGTTTGTTTATTTCAGTTATACCTGACACTGAAAACTGTGAGGTACAGGTGTCCAGTAGATGGTGAGACATTTCTGTAGCTTAGGAGGTGCTCCCCGAAGCAGCGCAGCCGTGGCCTGGGATTGGTGGGTTCTTGCAGAGGCTACAGAAGTGGCACAAGCCAGAGCGCTGGGGGCGGACGAGGAAAAACAACGCATCACGGTGCAGGGAGGCTTGTCCTGGCAAAGGCAGGCGGGGTCTGTAATGCTGGTGGGAATAAGGTGTGTGTGTGTGTGTGTGTGTGTGTACACTTGTGCGTGTTGTGGGGGTGAAAGTGTTTGTACTGTTAGGCCTCTCAGTGCGGGCGTAAGCGCACACAGGTACAGTGGCTGCCTTGGTGATAGGAGTGGAGCCTGTGCAGCTGTAACTGAAGGTGCAGAGGTGAGTGGCAGCCTGTGTGAATGTGTGTCTGTCAGGTGGTCTGCACGTTCATTGACTCGCCAAGTCAGCAGGCATCTACTGAACCCGGAGTTCGCCTCTCAAGATCCGCACACAGTCCCTGCCCTCCTGCAGCTCAGACCTGCGGGGTGAACGCGAGAGACAGGAGCGACACCAGGCGCTGGTAAGTGCTGTCCAGAAACAGCACCTGGGCGGGCGGGAGCGGCTTTAGCTAAGAGGTTAGGGAAGGCTGGTCCGATGCGGTGACATTCAGTGGCATGAAAAGGAGCCAGCCCTGCAAAGCGCTGGGGGAGCGTTTGAGGCCGGGGCACCACAAGCCAGGCTGGAGGGGAAGTGGGCGGAGACTGCTGGTGACAGCACAGCAGTGAGGAGCGCAGGTAACTGGGGCCTCGGCCATGGTCAGGCTTCGTGTTACAGTCAAGGAGCAGTGGGAACCACTGGGCTTTGAAGCAGCGAGGAAGATCATCTGCTCTGTGGTGTCAATACGGCTTTTTGGTGGAGAACAGACAGGGTCCGGGTGGGGCAGAGTGGAAGCAGAGAAGCCGTCTTAGCACGTGCAAAGGCCCAAAGGCAGGGAGTCCTCCAAGGACGCGGCAGGCTGGGCCGGGGAGGAAAAGGGGAAGAAAGGGCCAAGGAAGGGTGTTACGGGGAGGGACACGTTAGACTTGTTGGTTATCAAACAAATGTAATGAGCACCTTTTTTACTGCCTATATTTTCCAAAAGGTTTATGGTTTCCAATCTCCCATGGTCTTTAATGCATTTTGAGTTCATCATATATGGTGTAAGAAGTTGGTCTAATTTCATTTTCTTGCACATATGTTCAATTTTCCCAATACCACTTATTGAAGAGACTGTCTTTACTCCATTGTATGCTCTTGTCCGCTTTGTCATTTATTAATTGACCGCACAGGTGTGGGTTTATTTCTGGGCTCTGTATTCTGCTTTTTATGACAGAAAACCCTTTTCGTTCTCTGAGTACCATGCTGTTTTGATTATGACAGCCTTGTAGTGTAGTTTGCTACCAGGTAGCATGATACCTCCAAGTTGTTCTTTCTCAAGATGGTTTTGGTTATTCAGAATCTTTTGTGGCTCCACATAAACTTTGGGATTATTTGTTCTAATTCTGTGAAAAATGTCATTGTATTTTGATAGAAAGTGCGTTGACTTTATAGATTGCTTTGGGTAGGATGGACATTTTAATGAGGTTAATTCTTCCCACCCATGTGCACGGACGGTATATGCTTCCGTTTATTTGTAGCTTCAGTTTCTTCAGTGTCTTATTTTCCAAGTCTTTTATCTCCTTGGTTAATTTATTCCTAGGTATTTTTTTTATGCAAAATGGGATTGTTTTCTTAGTTTCCCTTTTTAAGAGTTCATTATTCGTGTATAAAGTGCAACTGATTTCTGGGTATTTGTTGTGTATCCTGCTGCTTGACTGAATTCATTTATCAGCTCTAGTAAATTTGGTAGAATCTTTAGTGTTCTATATATACAGTATCACGCTCTCTGCAAATAATGGTTTTACTTTCTACTTTCCAATTTGGATGCCTTTTATTTCTTCTTCAGAATGCCTTTAACACATGAAGTGTTTCTGGGAAATTGCAAAGGTGTGTCTCTTTCTCTGCGTAGAGACCCAGCATCAGGCTTCGTTTCTGGGGGCTGGCGTTGTCCCCCCCGTGGGCGCCATGGTCAGTGCACGGACTGCCCCAACCTCCCAGTGGCCCTGGGTGTACAGCCCAGGTTCCAGGACTAAACGGATTGGTGGTGGGATCCCCGCTGCCACTTGCTGGCTGTGTGGCCTTAAACAAGGTACTTGGGACCTCCGTTTGCTGACTGCACTCGCATACCGTGCTGTGAAGATTCACGTGTGCTCAGCCCTCAGCACAGCGCCTGGTAGGTGCTCAGCCCTCCGTTGGCGCCACGGTGACCTTTCACTGGGGTTTGGTTATGACATTGTAAGTGTCCTTGTGTGTTTTAGTGTTAAGTTCTTAAATAGATGAGCATTTACTGATAGAACACTACGCTCCTCTGTTACATGAAAGTGCCAACTATTTCTCAGGTTTCCTTGGCTTGGAGGTCCCCAGTTCTGACTGCTGGATGTCATTTATGTGCCATTTTAGATGCAAGATTTCATTGATTGTCATGGGAAAGACATGGAAGGAACCAGCGTCTGTCAGGGTCTGCTCTTCAGGGGCTCTTTATATTGTAATCTCATTTGATCTTTGGAACATTTGAGAAATTGAGCCTGAGGGAGGTTGAGGAGCTCGCTTAATGTCACACAGTTAGGCCCAGCCGGCATGGCTCAGTGGTTGAGCGTCGATCTATGAACTATGAGTCCACAGTCAATTCCAGGGCACATGCCCGGGCTGTGGGCTCAATCCCAGTGTGGGGTGTGCAGGAGGCAGCCAATCAGTGATTCTCTCTCATCATTGATATTTCTCTTTCTCTCCCTCTCCCTTCTCTGAAATTAATAAAAATGTTTGACACACACGTCACACAGTGAGGAAAAGAAAAGCCAGGATCCCACTTATTTCACTTCCCCTCCCTGCTCTCCACTTTTCCTGGGGTTGTAAGATCCCTGGGATTCTAATAACTGTTTACTCTCTAATTTTGCCCTAGAGGGGGATTTCACTTTCATCTGTGGGACTGATGCCGCCATCATGCTCTGTGGCTGGCAGGCTGACGCTCTCATTCTGCCCGAGCCTGTCTGGATGGACGGTTATGTATTCAGCACCTGCTGTGCACCAGGCACGGGCCTGCGGTTTGAAGAGACGAAGGTGAATGAAACAGTCTTGGCCTCAGAGGGAAATTATTTTCTTTTGAAAGTTCCAGGTGTTAAAAAAGAGAGCAAACATAATTTCTAAGAAGAAAAAAATGCTGTGGGGTCCATGTCTAGACAGTGGGATGAGGCTCTTGTCGGTAGGACGGTCTGGGAGGTTGTACTTGAACCCAAACCCACGTGACGGGAAGTGTCCGGCCTCCCCAGGCTCCTGGGATGCGCTTTGTGAGAGGAGGTAACAGGCAGTGTCCGCGCTGGAGGCAGGAAGCTGGCCGTGCTGAGGGAGGGGAGTGCGCAGTGAGCAGGGACATACCTCCGGGCCTTCCTGAGGGTTTTCCCTTTTATTCAACACCTGATGGGGAGTCACTGGTCTGTTTTGAGGAGGGGAGGGACCTGCTCTGATTTTCTTGCTAAAAGGATCCCACTGGCTTCTCTGCCTGGATCGGCCTGTGCAGGGCGCCGGACAGTGTGGCAGCCCAGAGGCAGGGCCCTTGGTGGTGATTTAGGGGAGAAGCGACTGGGTCGGCTCCGTGTATAGCCGTAGGTTTGGAAAGGTCTGATCTAGCCCATAATGTAATTCTCACATGGCGGTGGCAGCACCTACTTTTCAACCGATTGTAGAAGGGGCATCAGAGAAGAGGAATCAAGGAAGATGCCTACACTGTGGACTAAGTAACTGGGTGAAGGGTGCTCTCGTTTAATTGGATGGAGGATTCGGGGGGCGGGGGGGCGGATTTAGGAAGGGGTCTAAGAGTTCCCTGTGGGAAATGTTTGGTTTTACAAGTCTCTAATACAGCTGCCTGTCGTAGCGAGGGTGACACAGGTGCTCAGCAACGGCTTCCTGTGAATGAATGAATGAATGAATGAATGAATGACTAACTGCACCCACTCGGTCTTCCCTCCTCCTCCAGAGTCCACGTAAAACACGTCTCCTCATGAAACTTCTCCGAGTTGTATCTAAATATGCGCCATGTTTTTTTCCGCCCAATGTTCTTTTTAGCTTAATTATGGAACTTCCTTCCCTGTTAGTCACACTGAAGAGTGGTGTGTCCCGGCCATGTTTCCCTGTTTCCTGGGATCATGGTGATCGCCACAGCGCTGTGCACATCGTGGTCTAAGCAGGTGCCACCTGAGGGTGGTGTAGGGAGACTTGCATTCTGAGGTCTCGGCCGTATGTGAACTCCTCTCTATCCGTTTGTCTGTCTTCCTGTACGAGAAACTTCTGTCAGGTGCTGTGCGTGCTTATTGTGCTGTGGCTCAGAGTGAAACGCCGCCCATGAGAGCCAGAGCTTACACTTCAAGTCCCTGGGCAAAGGGTATCTTTTTCCACAAAAACACCACAGGTGACTTCCTAGGGTCCTTAGACCTAGGTTTTGGGGCCATGAGGTCTTCCCGAGCCTTCTTCATGGGGATGGAGGGCTCCTGGCTTATCTCAGGTTATAATCTCCGTCTCACTTTTCTGGTGCGTGGCTGGGGCTGGAGGGCCAGGTTTGGTTTGGAATTTGGGAGGTGTCTGCTTTCACAGAACGGGCCCTTTTCAATAGAAAATGAATCCATAGCTAGGCACGGAGTCTGCTCATTTTATAAGCACTTCCTTTGGAAAATACAAATTCATTTCTCAAGTGAAGGTGAGAACTCTGCCCCTGGGAGTGTTCCCAGAGCAAAGAACAGCCCGTGCAGGAGCCCTGAGGTGTGTGTGTGGGGGGGGGGGGGCGGGGT